GCCGAGGGAGGGCTGCGGCACGCGAGCGTCTGGCTGGTGGGACCGAGTCCCGTGTCCCTGCCTGCCCCAGGAGCATCCCTGGGAGGCTCCAGCCTGCGTCCCACGGAGCAGGCATCTATGGGCGGAATTCCAGGGGCCTGGGAGCCAAGCCACCCTGGAGCCTCTGTCTCAGGTAGGCTCTGTTCAAAGCTAGGTCCAATTTAGCTTAAGATAATAGATAAAGATGATAAATAGCGCTACTGAGGTTCACTTCCAGTCCTCCTTCACTGAAACACCGTTAACCATCCTTGGTGGATGTGGGACGCCTGTACAGGGAGTTGGAGCCTACTGCCAGTGAAGGTCTTGCTTTTCAGAGACCTTAAATTTCACAGAGTCCAAGGAAACCAAACCCCTCTGGTGTGTTATTTAGCCCCCAGGGACAAGGCTCAGCCATCCCCCCCCCCCCATCTCCTTTATCCCCAGAATTGCAGCCCCATCGTGGTGTGGATCCCCACGCCGCGTGGCCATGCAGCTCGGACCTGCTGCTGCTTCTCCTGGTGCCTTGTTCCGCTGGTGGGAGCGGGGTCCGGCCCTGGGGACAGGGCTGCTGGCAGCAGGGCACGTCTCCAGCCATGGTCCCTCTTCCCCTGCTGCTTCCCAGGTCTCCGGGAAGATGGACGAGAACGATTTTGTAGCAGTGACCAGTACCAACGCTGCCAAGATCTTCAACTGCTACCCCAGGAAGGGACGCATCGCTGTGGGCGCTGACGCCGACTTGGTTTTGTGGAACCCCAAGGCTACTAAAATCATCTCGGCAAAAACCCACAATCTGGTGAAACGTTTTTTTTAAATTATTTTCTTGCACTGGTTTTGGAGGAGGGCAGTAAGGCAATGTGTTTCACCAGCTCATTCAGCAAGGGAGGAGCTGTTGCTGTGGCTAAGTGATGAAGGACCTCGCGTTTCCTCTCTGAGATAGAAGCAGATGGAAATACCCCGTGGTTACGGCGAGGTGGAGCGTTGGGGCGGGCGGGGGGTTGTAGCTGAGTCGCCCAGTGGCTGCTCTGGGGCAGTCGGCCCCTGGTTTTGCAGTCGATGTATTCGCTGTGGACTGGAGAAATGCAAGCGCTGAACTTGAAGTATTAAACTATTCACATAGTTTAATATATTAAATTAATATATTAAATAAAGTTCATACAGCTCAATATATTAAATAAATGAGCTATAAATGTAATAAACAATTAGCATAGTTGCCTGCCCCTAGGGACGGCTCCGTCGGGAGCGGCTCGGGTGCCCTTGGTGCATTCCAGCCGTGCTGCTCCAGCCCAGGGGTGCCCCCAAACATTTCCAGGGTGAGCCTCGGGCAGAAAGCCGCAGCTGGAAGGGGAGAGGGGGGCAAGGTGTCAGGAGGAATGTTGGCGACAGAGCTGATTGATTGACATTAATGGAGCAACACTTTGAACACTGTGGTTTGGGGTTTTTTTCACAAAAATGTTTTTTTAATTGAAGAAAATTATCATGATGATTGAAATATTCAGGTCTTTTCTTTAAAAAGGAGGGGCGGGTTATTTTGGGGTCCAGAAAATTCATTTTTCTGGTTTTGTAACGCCCTATTTTTTCACTGTGACGTTTATTTTCTGCATGGTTTGTCAGTGATAGCAGTGGGAGATTTTGAAGAAAGCGGCGCTTCGGCATTTCTCGCTAAGCAGACCTGTGTTCCCGTGCCGGTGACCGGGAGGAGATGGCAGGAACTGGGGACTCGAGCAGAGCATGGCTGGGGCTCGGGGGGGGGGGATGTTAATGAGTCACCTGCAGTAAAAGCCTCGTTAGCTCCGCGTGCCTTCTGGGCGAGCACTGAGCCTTCGCAGGGCTTGGCTGCTCCATTCCGCTTTGCCTTAGTTCATCCCATTAGAAGAACCTTATTGTCTGGCGTGTGAAGGGTTAATGAAGCACAACGAATTGTGCATGAGGAGCAATGTGCAAACCATTGGGGGGGGCGCAGTGTAGCTGGCTAGCCTGTCACCTCCTCAAACCTTAAACACACCAAATATCTCGGTTGGTTCTTTCCAGAACGTGGAGTACAACATATTTGAGGGCATGGAGTGCCACGGCGTTCCTACCGTGGTCCTAAGTCAAGGAAGAGTTGTTCTCGAGGACGGCAACCTGCTTGTCACCCAGGGGGCAGGTCGCTTCATCCCCAGAAAGACGTTCCCTGATTTTGTTTACAAAAGGATAAAGGCAAGAAACAGGGTAAGGAGAACATCGTCTGCAATAAGCCCGTCTTTCCGCCGCGGTCTCTCTGCGTTGCTGCGCGGCAGTCGCTCTTACGGTAAGCGTCCCGGTAGAATAGGCAACAGAGCCAAGAGCATTATTAATAATATTTCTTCTTAGGCCTTGGAAATGTGTAGTGGTGCCGTGTAACTGCTCTGGCACGTTAACCAATGCCTATGCTAATGGTGTTGCTCACACCACTGGTGTTACTGGTGTTACGTGCCGGTTATAAAGCACAAGTGGGACTTGCAGCAAGTCTGGCTTTGTTCCTTCCGAAGGGCGGAATTCCTCTCCCACCTGGGTTAGGAGAGTTTATGTTGCTGCGTTACCAGGAACTGCTTTGCATCTGCTGGGACCAATGGATGGGGCGTTTGGTAGTTACTGGGAATAAAGACAGGACCAGGGGTGATGGTTTCAAACTAAAGGAGGGGAGGTTTAGACTGGATCTAAGGCAGAAATTCTTTGCAGTGAGGGTGGTGAAAGCCTGGCAGGGGTTGCCCAGAGAGGGGGTGGAGGCCCCATCCCTGGGACCATTCCAGGCCAGGTTGGCCGGGGCTGTGAGCAACCTGATGTGGTTCAAGGTGTCCCTGCTGCTGCAGGGGGGTTGGGCTGGGTGACCTCTGGGGGTCCCTTCCCACCCAAACCATTCTGTGATTCTATGATCAATCCCCCTGGTGTGCTAGCCCAGCTTTTCTAGGAGCCACGAGAACGTGCAAACCTAGAAAGAGCTCCTTAACAAACAGCTCTGCCCTCCCCTCTCCCCTGTGTTATTGTGGGCATTTTTGTTGTGCATTGCAGAGGGGGGGTGGAGCAGAAATCATTAACCCCA